GGGCAAGAGATTGTCGCCTCACCGCACAGGCTCCATAGGAAATGAATGGAGAGCGAGCAATGTCACCTCCCGTGTGTCGAGCCCATTAGGCACACACAGACACACACAGGCACAAACATACACAAAAAGAAACGCGTGGAAAAACACTAAAAATCTCTAAAAATGCACCGGATTCCTGCTCGCTTTTTTCTTCTCCTCCTCTTCTCTCGCTCCCCTGTTGTTTGAACGGTAAATCTCGCGATACTATTCCGAATTACCGTTATATACCTAACACATCATATACTGACAGAAAGCACGGAGTCTCAGCTCTCTGTCAGTGTTGGAATTTTCCAGATTGAGCGAACTTTTGCGGAGTTACGGTAATCAAAATTAGACACGTCAGAGCAGAGGTGGAGCCACAGCGCCGGCGCTGCCTTGGTACTAAAAGGGAAGKAAGTTTTTAACCCTAACCGTATTAAAGTTTTGTTTTATCACACTTCAGTAACATTGAATGAGCTAATGCTAACTCACACAGTAATAATATGTTCACTGTAGTTTTTACACAAAGTCAACATTGCATGTCTGACTGTATTCAGCTCTTCTGAGGCTAATTCTTAAGCTAATCTGTGTCTTTGAAAAGAAGTGATGGGAAAAGCAAAACAGCTGAGATGCACGCAGGTWGTCAGGATCTCCTCGGCTCTCAAAGGCCTCAGGGATCCCGGCTCCCCCGGAGGCATCGGTTCTGGGTTTGGCCCTTTCACTCATGCATGGATGACTGCCCAGGGAGCACTACAGGGATGTCAAAACAAGAGAAAAGCTCATCATAAACCTGCATGTGCAACATTTTTATCAGCAGCTAAATGTTTCGTGTCATCTGCTGTGTACATACAGGTAGGAGAACACAGCAGTAAAAACAAGATAAATGAAGTGGCGCACACACAGGAATTCAGGAGCTGCCTGCAGACGAGTGCAGTTTCAGGATCTGGTTGCAGCCCTGAGACGTGTTTTAACAGTTGTGTTTGTGTTTTTGGTGGCACAGAGCCCTGGGGAAATATTTCCCATTTTATTGCTTCAAATAAATTCTACCTCGTTTTCTCCAAACTACATTAAAAATCCATTAAAAACAGCAGACAGAGCATAGTTCGTTCCCCCTCCTGGTAATAAAAATTTATTGATGTCTCTGAAGGAAGTATCATGAATCCAACTGTTTGACCAATATATTCAAAACCTCTGACCTATAAACCACTGAACTGGACAAACTATCAAAAAAGTTGAAAATATTATTTATTCACATTATTTGTCTGATTGACTGAATATTTGCCATATGAGCCTATTGTGTTTTCTAAGGACTCTTAGTCACGGCAGCCATCTTGAATAAACTTGTCTGAGAGTTTTATTAAAATCCATCCAATGGTCGATGACCTTTTTTGGTGACAGACTCACCAACACGTGCACGGTCCAGTACTACTATCTTTATGGGGACATTCCATTGACTTCCATTAATTGCTATAGTCTGACCCTAACCCCTGATCCCACAAATGGAGGTTTTCATAAGTAGCAGTTAGTCCCCACAAGTAGGTCTTTTTGTCCCCACTTATAGAGAATACCTGTACGTACACACAGAGACACACACATGGAGATGTGTGGGTAAAAATCTGTCTACATTTTTGCTTTGGAAGCTTTGATAAGCCTTAGTTATCAGAGTATTTCACATCTTTGAATCTTAATCTCAAAATCTTTTTACCAATTGCATAATTTCAGTTTAAAACAAAGTTTCTGTCTGTGACACTAGCTGTGTTTCCATTGACCATGAAAATGCGCAAATTAGAATTTCGAAAATAAATTTGCTCAATGGAAACACGTCAATTTCAATTTTTTTTTTTTTACTTTTTTCGACAAAATGTTTTTGCACTAGGATGAGGTGGTTTTTCGGCCGTATT